TTAGTACAAACACATCATCTTTTATGAGTCCATAAAATTGCTTGCCAGTTAATATCACTAGGATTGTTTTAAAAAGGGACTTCAACAAGTGTTGGCGAGGATGTGGAGAAAAAGAACCCTCATGCACTGTTGGCGGGAATGCAACCTGGTGCAGCCACTGTGAAAAACAGTATGGAGATTCCTCAAAAAGTTAAAAATAGAACTACCCTATGATCCAGTAATTGCACTACGGGTATTTACCCAAAAAGTGCAATAGCATTAATTAAAGAGTATTATGCTAAATGAAATAAGTCAGTCAGAGAAAGACAAAGACCATATGACTTCACTCAAGTGTAGAATCTAAGAAACAAAACAAATGAGCAAAGGGAGGGGGGAGAAAGAAAGACAGACAAACCAAGAAACAGACTCTTAACCATAGAGAACAAACAGGGTTACCAGAAGGAAGGTGGGTGGGGGGAATGGGTGAAACAGGTGAAGGGGATTAAAGAGCACACTCACCATCATGAGCACTGGGTAAGGTATAGAATTGTTGAATCATTATATTGTACACCTGAAATTAATATAACACTGTGTTAACTATACTGGAATTAAAATTTTAAACTTTTTTTTTTAAAAAGAGACTTTGCCAAAGCCTCATTTGCCAGCTAGAACAGTTGGGCCAAATTGTAACTGCTCTCCTTAATAATATGCTTTGTTCATTCAACAAATATTTAGTTATCATTTCCTATGTGCCAGGCTCTGTCCCAGAGTTTAGGGATGCAGTGGCGAACAAGACAGTCTAGATCCCTGCTCTAATAGAGTTTATATTGTACAGAGGAGAAACACATAAGCAAGCAAGCAATTAACAAAGCAAATAATTTCAGCTAGTGGCAGAAAAAAAAACAAAACACTGAGGTGTGATAGAGAATGGTTGGATTGGGGAAGCTACTTTAGATTTGATTTGTTCAGCAAGGAAGATCTCTCAGAAGCAAGACTTTAATAGCAAGAAGGAGCCAGCCATGTGAGGATGTGGGGAGACAGTGGCCCAGACAGAGAACAATAGCAAAGGCCCTGAGGCAGGGATGAGTTTGCTGTGTCTAGGAAAAAAAGAGCTATGAAGAGAAGTTCTTCCACCAAACATACCAGGATCAGGAGTGTGCAACTTCTAGAGTAGCTGTCTGAAAGTTAAGAGCATGTACCAAAGCACAAGCATGTCTAGCCCCTAACTTTCCTCCTCCCTGACTCCAACCTCACAACCAAAAGAGAGGCTCATTTGACATAGGACAGTAATTCACATTTCAATGTTTGACAGACATTTCCAAATGATATACCTGGCTTTTTTAGTAATAGCTTCACTGAGACATAATTCACAGATCATAAAATTCGCCCTTTTAAAGTATACAGTTCAATGGTTTTTAGTATATTCACTTTGCAACAACCATCACCACTATTTAATTTTCATCACCTCCAAAAAGAAACTGAGTTCATCGAGATTATAGAATATGAGATTGATATACAAAAACCAGTTGTATTTCTGTACACTAGAAATGAACAATCCAAGCATAAAATTAAGAAAACATTTCCATTTTCAATAGTATCAAAAATAATAAAATACTTGGGGCGCCTGGGTGACTCAGTCAGATGAGTGTCTGATTCTTGGTTTTGGCTGAGATCATGATCTCAGGGTCCTGGGATCCAGCCCCACATGGAGGGGGGTGGGTCCTCGCTCAGCAGGGAGTCTGCTTGAGGATTCTCTCTCTCCCTCTCCCCTCTCCACCCTGCTCGCTCTCTCTCTCTAAAATAAAAAAATATATATTTTTAAAAATAATAAAATACTTAAGAATAAATTTAACAAATTAAATATAAGATTTGTACACTGAAAATGACAAAACATCCTTAAAAGAAATTAAAGAGGACCTAAATAAATGGAATGATATCCCACGTTCATGGTTTGGAAGACTGAATATTATTAAGATGGTGTAGTAAAATAATGGCCCCCAAAAGATGACCACATCCTAATATCCAGAACCTGTGAACATGTTACTTTACATGGCAAAAAGATTTTTACGGATGTGATAAAATTATGGAGATTGTTCTGGGTTATCCATGTGGGTATAATCTAATCACAAGGGTCCTTGTAAGAGGGAAGCAGTGGGTCAAGGGCAGAAGGAGGAGATGTGATGATGGAAGCAAAGGCTGGAGCAGTGCACTTTGAAGGTAGAGGAAGGGGCCACGAGTAAGGAGTGGAGGCAGCCTTTAGGAGCTAGACAAAGCAAGGAAAAGGGTAATCCCCAGGATACCAGGATAACCAGGAGCCCCTAGAAGGAATACAGCCCTGTCTGCTACCTTGATTTTAGCCACATAAGACACAGTTTGGAATTCTGACATTCAGAACTATAAGATAATAAATTTGTATTATTCTAAGCCACTAAGTTTGTGATAATTTGTTATAGCAGCAACAGAAACTAAAACACATGGTTATACTCCCCAAATTGATCTACAGTAGATCCAAAACAATCCCTATCAAAGTCTCAGCTGACCTTCTTACAGAGACTGACAAACTGATCCTAAAATTCCTAGGGAAATGCAAGGGACCCAGAATAGGTAAAATAGTCATTAAAAAAAAAAAAAAAAGAACAAAACTGGAGGTCTTACACTTCCTATCAAAACTTACTACAAAGCTATATAATCAAAACTCTGGCACTGACATGTGGAAAGACATATAAATCGATGGAACAGAATTGAGAGTTCAGAAATAAACCCTTACATTTATGATCCTATTTTTGACAAAGGTACCAAGACAATTCAATGGAAAAAGAATATCCTTTTCAACAAATGTTGTTGAGACAACTGGGTATCAACCTGAAAAAGAACAAAGCTTGAACAAGGGGTGCCTGACTGGCTCAATCAGAAGAGCACGTGACTCTTGATCTCTGGGTCATGAGTTCAAGGCCCACATTGGGTATAGAGATTACTTAAAAAATAAAATCTTTTTAAAAAAATTAACTCAGGGCGCCTGGGTGGCTCAGTCGTTAAGCGTCTGCCTTCAGCTCAGGTCATGATCCCAGGGTTCTGGGATTGAGTTCCACATCGGGCTCCCTGCTCAGCAGGAAGCCTGCTTTTCTCTCTCCCACTCCCCCTGCTTGTGTTCCTGCTCTCGCTGTCTCTCTTTGTCAAATAAATAAATAAAATCTTTTAAAAAAATAAATTAACTCAGAACAAAGTTCCAAATATAAGAGCTAAATCAATAAAACTTTAGAAGAAAACAGAGGTGTAAATCTTTTGTGACCTTGGATTAGGCAATAGTTTCTTAGATGGGATACCAGAAGCACAGGTAACAAAAGAAAAAAAAAATAGATAAATTATACTTCATCAAAATTAAAACTTTTGTGCTTTTTAAAAAATGTTTTTAAAGATTTTATTTATTTATTTGAGAGAGAGAGCACAAGCAGGAGGAGCAGCAGAGGGAGAAGCAGGGAGCCTGATGCGGGGCTTGATCCCAGGACCCTGGGATCATGACCTGAGCCGAAGGCAGTCACTTAACCAACTGAGCCACCCAGAGGCCCCTGTGCTTTTTTTTTTTTTAAGATTTATTTATTTTATTTTAGAGAGAGAGAACAGGAGAGAGAAGGGCAGAAGGAGAGAGAATCTCAAGCAGACTCCCCACTGAGCACAGAACCCAACACGGGGCTCCATCTCTCAATCCTGAGATCACGACCTGAACTGAAACCAGGAGTCAGGTGCTTAACCAATTGTGCCACCCAGGCACCCCAAAACTTTTGTACTTTTAAAGGGCCTATCAAGGAAGTGAAAATACAACACACAAAACTGGAGAAAATGTTTGCAACTCATATATCCGTTAAGAGTCTAGTATCCACACTATATAAAGAATTCTTATAAGCCAATGATACAAAGAAAAGTAAACAAAATGGGCAAAGGGTTTGAATAGCTATTTATCCAAAGAAGATATACAAGTGGCCAATAAGCATATGAAAACATGTTCAACATCATTAGCCATCAGGGAAATGCAAATCAAGAAAACAATTAGATATCATTTCTTATCCACTAGGTTGACTGTAATTTTTAATGGAAAACAACAAGAGTTGGGAAAGACATGCAGAAATTGAAACCTTATACAATGCTAGTAGGAATATAAAATAGTTCCTGATATAATGCTACTGTGGAAAAGTTTGAAAAAAAAATACATAGTGTTACCTCATACCCAACACTTCCATACGTAGGTATACCCAAGAGAATTTAATACATGTATCCACACAAAAACTTGTACACAAATGTTCATAGCAGTGTTATTCATGATAGCCAAAACATGGAAACAACCAAATGTCCATCAAATGTAAACAAATAAATTAAACATGGTGTATCCATCCAAAGGAATATTATTCAATCATAAAAGACTGATGTTTTGATTCATGCTACCACATAGATGAACCTTGAAAGCATTATGCTTAATGAATGAAGCCAGTCAAAAAAGACCACAGATAGTATGAGTTATATGAAATTTCCAGAATAGGCAAATTTATAGAGACAGAAAGTAGATTTGTGGTTGTCAGAAATGTACAGAAGTGGGTATTAGGGAGTGACTGCTAATAGGTTTTTAATTTGGGGGGGGTGATGAAAATGTTCTGGAATTAGATAATAGTGATTGTTGCACAGTTTTGTGGACATACTAAAATTCATTGAAATATGCACATTAAAGGGTGAATTTTATGATGTGTGAATTATCTGAAAATAAAATAATCTGAAAATAGACTAATGAATTTATGTATGTAGATACATGCCTGGGAGTGGAATTGGGCCACACAGAAAGCCTATGTTTAACTTTCTGAGGAACTGCCGAAGTTTTCCAAAGTGACTACACCATTCTACAGTCCTGCCAGCAACGTATCGGAGGCCCAGTTTCTCCACATGCAAAGGCTCATTTTTAAGAGATCCTAGCAGACAAATCTGCAACAAAGTCTATGGGGAATAAATGTAAAATGCTGAGGTTTTCACTGTCTTAGAATCATGTGTGTGTGCTTGTTTATAGGTTTAAAAGAAAATCCATCGATGGAAGCTCTGGTTCCAGTGATGGTAAGAAAAACCCCTGGTCTCAAATTCAAATGATATTGAGTATTTGTCAACATCCCATTTGTACTCCTTTTGTCTCTCTGCCTTTCATAATTTCCAAACCCTCCCTTGGTACCTATCCCACAGAGTAATCTAATCAGCAGTCTTTCTAGAGAAAGCAGAGCTAGTGAGAACCAGTTTTCATAGTTGGTAATTACTGAGATATGGAGCTCATACTAAGAACCTTTGCTCGGAGTATCCCTTGCAGTTACCCATAGCCCATTTATCAGCCATTCATCTTTTTTTTAAAGTTTAATCTTTTCTAGGATGTAAATTGTTATCCCCAAACTGACTTGTGAACAATAAGAATTTATTGTGTCAACTCTAATACAAAGTTCACTTTTCCCAAATTGAGATAGAGGTTTTTTTGTTCAAGTAGCTAAAAACCTGAAATATTTGAGAATAATCAGTGTAATAAAGAGTATAATAACTTCGGGAAATCCAGAGTAACTGATTATTCAACCATAGTAATATGCCCTTTCCTCCAGTCTGATAATTTGAACAAAGGAATTCGATTAGCTGATCTTTTTATCAAAACTTGAAAAAATTTAAATGTCCTCATTTTTTTAACTGAGAAATAATTGACAAGTAACACTGTATAAGTTTCAGGTGTACAACCAAATGATTTGATATTTGTATATATTGCAAAACGATCACCATGATAAGTCTAGTTAACACCCATCACCACACACAGTTATAATTTTTTTTTCTTGTGATGAGACCTTTTAAGATCTACTCTCTTAGGAACTTTCAAATATACAGTACAGTAGCACTAACTATAGTCACCAGGCGGCACCTTATATCCCCAGGAGTTATTTATCTTATAACTGAAGTTTATACCTTTTGTAAATGTCCTCATTTTTGAAAAGTCTAAATCAGTGTGAGATAGTGTTCATAAGTTCTTTGGCATGTAGTGCTTATTTGGAAAAGGAACGGTGAAATGAGACTTGATTTTTAAGTCACATGCAGCAGATGTTTAGTTCTGTGTTTTCTGTACTTAAATGAGCCCATAGAATATTAGAAAGACACAAACTGATCCCCTGCCCACCCAGCAGGAGCATTTCTCACTCTGCTGGAGGGCTGCTTCTCCTGCCATCCTTTGATTTTTTTGTCTTCCTCAACGCCAGCATGTTTATTTTTCCAGCCACCCGGGCAATTGGTTTTGATAACATTCAACTAGCAGTATGAAAGACTGTGAAAGGACACCTGCTCTAGGGTCTTTAAAATCCGAAGTCCTACTTTCCCTTGTATTCATAAAATGAATTTGTCTTCTCTCTGGATCTCATCCTTTTTCTTCTAGTGCTCTCCAAGTTTTGCTCTTATTTTAGGTCTCAGTTGAACTTAGAAAGCCTGATTAGTTGGATCCCATTGGTGCTCTGTGAAAGGGTGGTCTGTTATTTTTATTGTATGAGTGAAGACATTTTATTATTGTAATGATAATTCAAGGGATTTCTGTGTTCCGAAGAGTTTCCTGAACAGTGAAGTGTAGGTGGACAGAGCTGAGACTTTAGCCAGATCATTGTCCAAGATCAAGAAGGCTCTGAAAATTAAGAGCTATAGGCACCCTTCAGGTGGCAAGCAGAAATGAATGAATGAGAAGAAAGAAAGAAAGAAAGAAAGAAAGAAAGAAAGAAAGAAAGAAAGAAAGAAAAGAAGGAAGAAAAAAGAAAGAGAGAAAGAAAGAAAGAGGAAAGGAAGGAAGGAAGAGAGAAAGAGGAAGTGAGGGAGAAAGAAAGACAGAGAGAGGGGGAGAAGGGAGGGAAGAAGGTGGGGAGGCAGGAAGAAAGAGTAAAGATGCATCAGTTAGGATTCACATGGTTGCAAATAACAACATAATAGATCTCAAAACATGCTTAAACAGTAAAGGGGCTCCTCTCCTTGCAAGTTGAGCAGAAGGGTGGGCTTTAGGGTTAACTGAGTCTGGTGGCCCTGGTCCTTTTCCCCGCCATTCCCTTGACTCTGCTTTACTTCCACATTATTGACATTACAGGCCAGATAATTCTTTGTTGTTAGGGGCTGTCCTGTGCACTGTAGGATGTTTAACTGCATTCTTCACCTCTACCTACTAGAAACCACTAGTACACTCCATCCTCGTGACAACTAAAAATGTCTCCAGACATTGCCAAATGTCCTCTTGGGGGCAAAATGCTCCCCCCACCTCTACCCCCCAACTGAGATTATCTGACTTAAACACACGGACTGCCAGGTGAGGATACCTGAACGAAATCCCAGCTTAGTTAGGAAGTAGGGAATAGGATTTTTCACCACAAAGGCTTTGAAATAGGGAGAATCAGGAGCCTTTGTTATGCAGACAGGCTGTATCAGAAAGATGGTATATGACAACAAGTGAGACAAGACCTAGATGCTGAAGACAAGAACAGAGAAGACACACTCTCCCCTAGGAAACAACCAGTTAGCAACTCTTTTAAGCACATCAAAGGGAGCATTGAGAAACCAGCCTGGACCAAGAGACAGAAGCAAGTGAGGGACACTATTTAGCTGAAAGCTAAGGTGAGACATTTCAGGGGAGGAACCTTTGCCAAGGAGCAAGGATACAGAAATGCCTTTCTCTCCCAAGGGCCAGGATCCCCGTAACTATGGCGGCTACAGGAAGATCAGTGGAGCTCAGAGCTACAGGGCATGCCCTGGGGGCTGGTAGCCACAGAAAATGCTAGAAGCAGTGTCTGAAAGGGAAGGAGGATCCCATTAGACTTGGCATGGTGTCCCACTCAAATCAATGTGGACCTAGACATCTGAAAGGGAGAGGTCAAATGCTACCACAACAAGAAGATGAGGCAAGGAAAACTCTTGCAAAAGAGAAGAAGCCCACTTCACTCAGCCCAGTAGGATGGTGGGAGGAAGATAGCAAGGGGGTGGGGGTAATGAGAAAGTGACCAGGTGAGCATGACTTGAATTTCTTCCTCTCCATGCTGAAATCTGGAAGTGTGGTCATGGAGTATTGATAGGTTAAAAGGAATGCCAAAACAGAGGAGATTTTACCCAGCTTGTCACTGGGGACTTGGGATGCCTGTCTTTTTTTTTTTCCCCCTCACAAACATTGTCTTTAATAGATAAGCTTAACATTGGTGGCAAATTTTAATAGAATAGAAAAGCTTCACATATATTGTTTATACATATATATAAGTATATATATAATTTTTTTAAAGATTTTATTTATTTACTTGTCAGAGAGAGAAAGCACAAGCAGGGGGAGTGGCAGAGAGAGAGGGAGAAGCAGACTCCCCGCGGAGCAGAGAGCCCGATGCAGGACTCGATCCCAGGACCCTGGGACCATGACCTGAGCCAAAGGCAGATGCTTAACCAACTGAGCCACCTAGGTGTCCCTGTTTATATTTAAAGTTTATTTATCTTTCTGAAGAGAGAAGCTCTAAAACTAACATGCACTGAGGAGGCAGGCCAGCTCTGACGCCCGGAGGACCAGGGACCTGCTCCCCTGTACACTATCCAGGTGGAGGGGAACGGTGAACCAAGGCCCTTGCCTGCTCTTCCCAGCAGAGAGAGTTCCAGTAGCTCTCCCACCATTGGTGGAGTTCTAAGGCTGGATCTTTTCTATTCTAGTTGCCCTTTTAAACCATGGCTTTTGTCTGTGCCCCAAGGCAGACAAAGCTGCTCACGGTCCCTCAGAACTATCCCTCCCACAGCAGTTCCTACAGGGCCCTTCGTTAGCACGTCTTTATTTTTCTTGCTCTTCTATCTTTAGTTGTGCAGAAGCTGCTCAGTCAGCCCTCAGTTCTTCAGGAGGAATTGCTCTATAAATAGATGTAGATTTGGTGTGTCCGTGGAGGAGGTGAGTTCAGTGTCTTCTCACGTTGCCGTCTTGGACTGGAACTCTCTCCTCAACTTTTGAAACTTTGGGGATAGGTAGCCTATTGGCATAAAACTGAAATTTCTGGGCAGTGAGTTCGCATCATTTCTGACTCCCTCTTCAGCTTCCAACCTCCTGAGTCCAGAGACAGAAGAAGGCAGGACGATTATAAATATGAAGTCCCTGAAAGATCCAAACATGCTCAAAATGAAGTTTTCCTCCTCACACTGAGCACTTAACATAAAAAGCCAGCATGCAAGCATATCTTATTCAGTGTTAGTAAACAGATGGCAAAGGGTTCATGCTCTGAAAAAAAGATGCCAGAACAAGTTTCTTCATTAAGATGAGCTCATTCACAACTTTATATGTTTACTTCTTCCCACCCAGAACATCTTGGTCTTTCCTATAAACTGATATTTTGTGTTTAATTATTTCTAAATACCATAGAGTTAAATATAAATATAACTCCCCTTCTGGGAGCATCAAGTATATTTGAAGTTTGGGAGATGACGCTTTGGTTTTTTGCAGTCAGTGAAGGCCTTAGACGTTAGAAAAATTAATAGAATACTGTTATCCCGTGTTGGCCAATCTCATATTTAAACTGTGCCTATAGAAGTCCACAAAGTTAAAACATCTTTGTGTTTTGTATTGCCCATGAAAATCCTGATGTTCTTGTCCATCATAGAACCACTGGTGTTGCAGATGAGCCAGAGCTGAGTATCGAAGTCAGTAACACATCCAAGTCTGAACAGACCCACACAGCTGGCTTTTGCTTTTTAATGAAGTTTCACCTAACAAAACAGTGATTGTTTTTGTTTGCTCACTTGCTTTGATTTTAGCTTTTGTGTTTTTTTCTCCTTTGTTTACTCCCACGAAAACATTGCTTCCCACAAACCATTTCAACCTCCTACCATAACCAAACTCAAGCATTTTCCTATGCACACTTCTACTTCTCATAGCAGAGGGCTTCTCAGTAACACCAAAATGGCAAAAATTCTGGGTTTTATGATTTTAGTGTCATTCTGCACTTACTATTTACACATCTAATATTTTTTTAATTACAACTTTATAAAAGGACATAGGTTAATGGTTAAAAAGAGGGAGCTTAAATCTACAGATTTGATCCCTATCAAAATACAGCATTTTTCACAGAACTAGAATAAATAATCCTAAAATTTGTATGGAACCACAAGAGACCCCAAATAGCCAAAGCAGTCTTGAAAAAGATGAACAAAACTGGAGGTATCACAATTGCAGATTTCAAGATATACTACAAAACTGTAGTGATCAAAAGAGTATGGTACTAGCACAAAAATAGACACGTAGATCAATGGGACAGGATAGAGGACCCAAAAATAAGCCCACACTTTTATGGTCAATTAATCTACAGCAAAAGAGGCAAGAATATACAATGGGAAGGAAAAAGACAGTCTCTTCAACAAATGGTGCTAGAAAAACTGGACATTCATGCAAAAGAATGAAACTGAACCACTGTCTTCTTACACCATACACAAAAATAAACTCTAAATAGATTAAAGACCTAAATGTGAGACCTAAAACCATAAAACTTCTAGAAGAAAACATAAGCTGTGATCTCTTTGACATCAGCCTTAGCAACATTAGATATGTCTCTTTGATCAAGGGAAACAAAAGCAAAAATAAACTAATGGGGCTACACCAAAATAAAAAGTTTCTGCACATCAAATGAAACCATCAACAGAACAAAAAGACAACTTACTGAATGGAAGAAGATATTTACAAATGATTTATCCAATAAGGAATTTTATCTGAAGTATATAAAGAACCTATATAACCCAACACCAAAAAAACACACACAAATAATCCAATTTAAAAATAGGCAGAAGACATGAACAGACATTTTTCCAAAGAAGACATCCGGGTGGCCAACAGACACCTGAAAAGATGCTCAACATCAATCATCATCAGGGAAATGCAAATCAAAACCACAATAAGATACCTGTCATACCTGTCAGAATGGCTAAAATCAAAAAAGCAAGATATAACAAGTGTCCAACAAGGATATGGAGAAAAAAGAACCCTCATGCACTGTTGGTGGGAATGCAAACTAGTGCAGCTGTTGTGGAAAACAGTATGGAGATTCCTCAAAAAATTAAAAAATAGAATTACCATATAATCCAGTAATTTCTACTGGGTATTTATCCCCCAAAAATGAAAACACTAATTCAAAAAGATATATGTACCCCTATGTTTCTTGCAGCATTATTTATAATAACCAAATTATGGAAGCCACCCAAGTGTCTATAGGTAGATGAATGAATAAAGAAGATGTGGGGGCTGTGCATGTGTGTGTGTGTGTGTGTGTGTGTGTGTGTGTGATAGAATATTACTTAGGGGTGCCTGGGTGGCTCAGTCCTTTAAGCGGCTGACTCTGGTTTCGGCTCAGGTCATGATCTCAGGGTGGTGAGATGGAGCCCCACATCCTGTGCCTCAGGATTCTCTCTTTCTCTTTCCCTCTGTCCCTCCCCCTTTACACTCTCTCTCTCTCTCTCTCAAATAGGTAAATAAGTCTTTAAAAAAAATACTACTCAGCCATAAAAAAGAATGAAATCCTGCCATTTGCAACAACATGGATGGATCTAGAGGATATACTGCTAAGTGAAATAAGTCAGTCAGAGAAAGACAAATACCATATGATTTCACTCATATGTGGAATTTAAGGAACAAAGCAGACGAACAAAGAAAAAGAGATAAAAAAAAAAAAAAAGGCTTTTAAATACAGAAAATAAACTCGTGGTTGCCCGAGGGGAGGTGGGTGGGTTGATGGGTGAAATAGGTGATGGGGAGTAAGAGTACACTTACGATGAGCACTGAGTAATGTACAGAATTGTTGAATCATGTTGTACACCTGGAACTAGTATAACACTGTATGTTAGTTATACTTGAGTAGAAATTTTTTAAAAAGAGGGAGCTTAAGCGTGAAAAGAGAAAAATGTGAAAGACACTGAGGGAAATGTAAAAGGCTGCATCACCTGGGATGAGCCCATCACCATGGTTTCTGTGAGACTCCCCGCAGTGAACTAGACAGAACGAAGATATTAGCATGACCCAATAGAGAATCATCGACAAACAGCAGTAGACAACCTAAAAACAAATGTTGTGCTTAGATACTTCTTTAAAGTATCAGCTTACTATAGTGGAGATGCAAAGAAGTCTCAACCTCCTTGTCTCTTTTGAAAGATATTCTTGGGCACTCCATGAAAGTAACACCCTTTCTGCCAGACATTCATATTTTGAAGGAAAATCCCTGTATTATTTTTCAGTTAAGAAGATAAGTTTTGGGGGCACCTGGGTGGCTCAGTCAGTTAAGCGTCTGCCCCTTCAGCTCAGGTCATGATCCCAGGGTCCTGGGATTGAGCCCCGCATCGGGCTCCCTGCTCAGCGGGGAGTCTGCTTCTCCCTCTGCCTCTGCCCCCCCGTGCCCCGTGTTCATGCTCTCTCTCGCTCTCTCTCCCTCCCTCAAATAAATAAATAAAATCCTTTTAAAAAAAGAAGACACGTTTTGGGCGCCTGGGTGGCTCAGTCGGTTAAGCACATGACTCTTGGTTTTGGCTCACGTCACGATCTCAGGGTCATGAGACCGAGCCCCAAGTTGAGCTCCATGCTGGGCGTGGAGCCTGCTTAAGACTCTCCCTGCCCCTCTCCCTCTGACCCTCCCCCTGCTCACACTCACACTCTCTCTCTCTTCCCCCCAAAAAGAAGAAGAAAAGTTATAACTGAAACCAGTACAATGAACCCCTCTCCACCCACGATCTGAGGGACTCTGGGCAAATCATTTGATTTCTCAAGTGCCTCCCTTTTGTTATTTTAAAATAGTGATCGTAGTACCCACCTCATAGGGCTGTTGAAAAATTAGAAGAGTAAATTCCTGTAAAGAACTTAAAAGGTGTCTGACATACAGTAAGTTTTCAGTAAACACTAGCCGGTAGTAGTAGGAGTCGTACTAGAGCCGTAGGAGCCGTCATCGTCGTAGTAACAACAACGGGAGCACGAGTCACGGCGGCAACACCAGCGGTGGCAGGAATAGCACATGGGACTCGTTAGAGTCAGTAGTCGCAGTAGCAGAAGCAGCAACCAAAGCTCTGTGCTGTGACTATGGCCAAATCTGTCCTAGGTCAAGGAGCCAAACTGTACACAACAGCTCCACATGACGCTGCTATTGCGCACAAAGAAAATGTAATATCGCCTACTTAAGAGTCTGCGAATAACCTGCTTCTTTGCCTTGAAGTTGGATGAAAAGCTCAGAGGGCGTTGACACCATGTTACATATTTATGGGTGAGCCCAAGAACGGCCAAGGAACATCTGTGTTCTTGAAGTGATAAGAACTAGATCAGGGCGCCTGGGTGGCTCAGTCGTTAAGCGGCTGCCTTCGGCTCAGGTCGCGATCCCAGGGTCTTGGGATCGAGCCCTGCATCGGGCTCCCTGCTCCGCGGGAAGCCTGCTTCTCCCTCTCCCTCTCCCACTCCGCCTGCTTGTGTTCCCTCTCTCGCTGTGTCTCTCTCTGTCAAAATAAATAAATAAAATATTTTAAAAAAAAAAGAACTAGATCAAGGAATCCCCAGGCCTGGGGACAGTGCCAGGGAGTCCGCATTCTGAGGGCCTGGGAACAGCCTTGCCCACCAGGAACACCGTGTTAGCCAAAGGCCTTGCCGTCCAGCTGGGCCCACTCTTGGCTACGCTACCCAAAGGAGGAAGGAAATTGCGTCTCTAAGGCCATCTTTCATCATCTGGCTAAATATTTTGAACTCAGGATTTAATTCTTTTTCTTCATGAAGAAAAGGAATGGACACACCAAGAGTAAAAACCATGATAAAGCCTACAGATTGGCTTGTTTTTAATGTTTTTACTACTCACCAGTGGGAGGAAGTTTAAGAGCTGGATGAAGAGAGTTGGCTGTGACAAATGATGAACTGTTGGAGGCTTTTGGTTCCATTCCACGTGTTACGTACTGGAGCACGAATGTAAGCTATAGCGAGGTGTATTTTCTGTGAAGAAATGGAAATATATTTACAGTGAGGCTATTATAGAATATCCTCAGTTATGTGTCTTCCCTGAAAATATATTTCCCTGCAACAGTGTGAGACTGACCGGTTAACTCACAGACTTTTTTTTTGCCTGTAATGTAGTACAAGCAACCTCACCTCAGAAGAAAGATCCAGTATTGAAATTCCCACCAGCCTGACAATATCCCAGATCCCAGATCCTTGACAAAGCTCAGGAGGCAGTGAAGAAATATTCTCCTGCATCTCCACAGACGGAGTGTGGCTCCTGGAAACATTGCAGCATTAAGTCAGTCAGAGAAATGGCCTAGATAAGCTGCTTGTTTGTGGTTTCTCCTCTCCTTGTTCAGCTCTGCCTAATCCTCAGAGGTGGATAAACTCAGTGAGGAGCATCTTGTCTGATAACCAAGGAGATGGTCCGGAGATATTTTTCTCTGATATTTGTGCTGGCCTGGCTCCAGATGACACCACCAGACTCAGGAATGAGTTCGCTCCCTGTGCTGCCACAAGGACTACCTCAATGAAAATGTTTGAGGAACATTATCTTATTTAGTTTTTCTCTCCCTGCCAAGAGGCATTTGGCAACAGATCCAGAAATCTCTCTCAAAATATCTCATATTCTTCCATATCCTTAGCTCAGTTGTCATCATTCATCGCTCCGAGGAGTGCAGTAATGTCCTGCCTATCTGGGCTCATCCGGCCGATAGTCAGGGTACTGCTAAATGCTATTTTAAACACCTCCAAATTACAGTGCTTTCATCAGAGAAGTTTATTTCTATGTTTCCATTCAGTGGCGGCCTTCCTCCAAGTGATTTTAGGACCTCTGCCCCTTTGTTCTTGCGATTCTGCAATCCCTTCAGGCAGGAACCAGAAGATTTTTTTCTCTGTAAGGTGCCAAAGAGCAAATATGTTAGACGTCTCTGTCGCAACTTCTCAACTCTTCCGCCATAGCCAAAGGCAGCCATAGAAGAACCCAAAGACTGTGGCTGTGTTTTGATAGAAATTTATATATGAATACTGAAATTGGAATTTCATGTAATTTTTACCTGTCATGAAATCTTTTGATTTCTTTCCCCAACCGTTTATTTTAGTATATGTGCTACCGAAGCGAGCACAACCATTTAAAAATTTTAAAACCATTCTGACTTCAAGGGCCGTACAAAAACAAGTGGCAGGCTAGATTTGGCCCCCAGGTCAAGTTTGGTGAGTCTTGTATTATTAGGGTAGAAAGAAAGTCGAGTTTAAAATGCTGTGGCCTTGGGCGCCTGGGTGGCTCAGTCGGTTAAGCGACTGCCTTCGGCTCAGGTCATGATCCTGGAGTCCCGGGATCGAGTCCCGCATCTGGCTCCCTGCTCGGCGGGGAGTCTGCTTCTCCCTCTGACCCTCCTCCCTCTCATGCTCTCTGTCTCTCTTGCACTTTCTTGCAAATAAATAAAATCTTAAAAAAAAAAAATTTAAAATGCTGTGGCCTTATGATTCAAGCTACTTAGAGTTGTGTTGTTTTGTTCCGGCAGCTGGACGTAAAGCGTTGGCCTTTTTGTGTTTCTTTCCAACAGGCTCTGGAAACACGGCGGTGTCACATCCCATTGCTGCCGGCACCCCTGAAGGAAACAATTACGGGGCAATAGGTATTTCCTACAATGAGTCCATTCACTGAAGGATTTCCTAATTCTCCAGAGAATAGGATACAAAGGGCCCTCCAGCCACTACTGACCAAGAGTGGGCAAGGCAGTCATCATGCGAGACTGTCTTTTCTTGATGACATGAATCGGTTGGGTGATCTGGAAGGCTCCTTCCAGCTCTAACTCTCTCCAGTTTTGTTCTTCTGTGCCGGCCACACGTGAGCCGAATTCCCTACTGTGGGAAACATCCCGTGGGGATGTTTTCATACCCGGCCTGAGTTTGGGGCATGAACAGTGTGTCAGAGTCAACGTCAGGGAGCCTGACGTCAACTGACGAGCTGTTTCATTCTCAGGTTTTGGTGGAGTAAGGGCGATCAGAAGACTAAGGCTCTGCTGCAGGTGAATGTGGCTGTAGCCTGTATCAGTCATTCGTTCTGGCTATAACTTCATAGCTGACCCTAGTCATTCACATGGCAACGCCCCAGTGTTCATTGCGTGGCCTGAAGGAGACAGTTCCTGTGGGTCTACGAATGGTGCGCTTAAAATGTCAGGGCAGAGGGGCGGGGAGTCCTTATTCCTGCTCGGGTGGTGCTGTAACGTTGAGAAGCATGTGGGTTTCATGCAGGCTACTTATTTCTGGCTCCGTAAGAACAGGGTTTTGTTGTGGTGGGTTTTTTGGGGTTTTTTTTAACACTCTGAACAGAAGAAATAAAGCGGAAGGTAGGCTCAGCTCATGTGCTCATCAAGCTGCGCAAATTCCCATCTGCTCGGGGAAACGTTCACGAGAACACAAGGACTCTTCTCCCCGAGAGTGTTGTTCTCATTATATAATCATAGATACGGCATGTGGGGGATTTCGGTGTACAAATACTTTCTCCACGAGCAATGTCTAGCTGCTGGATATGTGTGTGCTTACACGGATATGTGGTAGATGCTATACAAAACTGTGCATGTATATGTTTATATATTTATGTTCATATTTTAAAATATGAAACATGACATATAAGCATAATCTTATTTTTTGCATCCAGATACTTTATCAGAGTAGATGCCTTTATGTTCTTAATGTGTATTTGGCCCTAGAGATAGACAATTAGAAGTCCACTGAGGAGGAATTGAGAGAAAGCACATGTATTGTGGGTAAGGAGTTCATTTTTACCAGCACATCTGCAAGAATGAGTCAGCACTGTGCTTTTTTGCAGAGAGGAATGGGCTGCATGGGTCCATCCTAGCTCTGGAAGGCAGCTGAGTTTTCTCTGTTTCAGAGGGGTCAAGTTCCAGTCCTGGCAGGCAGATGTCCTCCCCCAATAGTGGGCAGACGTTCCAGTCAGACACAGACAGCTCCGTGGAGGAGAGTGACTTCGACACCTTGCCAGACATTGAGAGTGATAAGAACATCATCCGGACCAAGGTATCTCTGCTTGGCCAAACTCTGGGCAAGGGCAGAAAGTTCAACAGTCAAATACACCTTCAGCAAGCCTCAGTTTCCTTTATTTTTTCCTTTCAAGGGAAAACCAAACTTCCCTGAGGGCTTTTGAGATAAAACATAAGTACAGACTATAAACAATACTCTGCTAATTAGCATTTCTTTCTGGAGGAAGAAAGTGAGAGCATTTAGGAGAACAGAGCATTTTATTCCAGGTCCTCGGGGTCTGGGGGAGCCTGGCTGGCTCAGCCAGAAGAACATGCTACTCTTGATCTCTGAGTTGTAAGTTCAAGCCCCATGTTGGGTGTAGAGATTACTTACATAAATAAAACTTTAAACAACAACAACAGCAACAACGACACCACCACTCAGGGTCTGAAGTGGCTGACTGAGGACCATAAAGGAGGAAGGGATCCAGCAAATGGAAGAAAAGATTCACTGAGGGGTATACCTGGGAAAACTCCTGGTTCTGCACATAACATCCTTCAGGAATAAAGCTCATTTCTTTCTGGCATATATTTATTTTATTGTGTTGTAGCCAGTAAGAGAGATGAAAGTAGATTGCCCAGTTTCAATCCTGTCATTCGAGAACCACACACTGGACATCTCTGAAAACTGAAAACCAGTTCCTGAGATATATGAAGCATTTGAGACTCCCAGTAGTTTTTCCGCATCAGCCGATTCTTACTATTTCAGAGAAAATACTAGGATTTTTACTGAGGTATTGTGAAAAAAAAAAATTGAAAGAAAAGTTTTATTAAATGTTTTTAATCCCTAGCGAGGTATTGGATTGAAATTTTGTAAAGCTCTCCTTTGTATCTTCTGCCAAAAAAGCCAAGTACAGTTTTGCATTCTCTTTTTATTTGGTATCCTCGGTGTTCCTTTTCCTGTCAGATCTGTCCCGGAAGGACCGGAGAATTATCAGCAAAAAATATAAGATTTATTTTTGGTGAGTAGATGATTGCTAGGACCACAGTTCCCTTGAATAAAATGAAAGTTTTCTTAGTAAAAGCCACAATCACTTATGGCACCAGCTTCTGTATAATGAGGCAACGGTGTAGATGTTCCGAGAATTCATGCCACATTCCATAAGAAAAACAAAAATAAACTATAAAAGGCAACCAGCCCTAAACTAAATATATACAAAGTAAAAACGAGAATGATGGTAGACTCCCACATGTCTAGGGAGCACACCAAATCCATTTCCAGAAAGACAACATAACAATAACCTGTCACTACCTCCCATGAGACACACTAAACTGGAGCCTTTATGTTCTTAATATGTATTCTGTCTTCTCACCCAGCCTGGATCTTAGAAGAGCCAGTGATTTCGGGGACTAGAGGTCTACAGCATCTCAGAGTAGCTGGAAACCACCCTGAGAGGAGATGGTACCCCAGCCAGTGATAAATTGCCCTGTGGTGGTCAAGCACCTCCAGATGCATCCTCTCTCCAACCCGAGAGGCTGAGCCGCCTGGCAAGAGACACCCCCCCACCCCCCACCCTGCACCCTGCACCACCCCCAGAAACCCCAAGCTGATTCTGTGATAGCTCTTCCATTCTTTTCTCTGGAAGGACGCCCTTTTACTTGGGTACAGACGGTCAAGGGAAGCAAGGGACCATAGTGGGACCATCATTTTGGAACTAAGAGGTATCTAAGAGAGCCACATCCCTTCATGTGATCCATCTCCCATTACTTACACTCTGATCACTTTCAATCAGACAACATCCTCATCCATAATTTGGGTAAAGCAGAAGCAAGTGTTATTTATAGTTTTACCAATGATTGTAGTTGTGGAACTCTGGAGAGACAGGAACTCTATTAATCAGTTTCTAATTACTTTTACAAGTTAACTAGGGAGTTATGGGGTGGAAGGATTCTTTTTTTAAAAATTGAGCAAAGATTCCATTGGTAATTTGGAAAACTATTTCCTGTTCTTTCTGCCTGCTTAGGAACATCGTCACCATTGCTGTGTTTTATGCACTGCCTGTGATCCAGCTGGTCATCACCTACCAGATAGTAAGTATTACCCAGAAGCCCAGAATCCCAGCTTTCATACTGCAGGGAGAGATCTTTGCTATGACTTACAGAGAAAAGTATATATCACTTGAGCTCAGTCCAAGTATGAATTTCCCCCTTCAGTTCCAAGTGGACTTGTCCATTGCTTCATCTTTGATGGACCTTTATATCCAGTTCCCAACTGTTTTATCACAGAAGGGCTTGGGACCTCTTATATTATTTTGTCACCCAATTTGAAGGTATTGCCTTATGCTCTTTCAGTCATAATATCTATCAACTATATCTGCCATTTACCAGGCTGAACTTCTGATTATCAAGGGGTAATGGATGGAGTAAATAAAGTTCCAGACCAAAACAAAGAAACCTGGTGTGTAATTTAGCCTGTGCCCTCTTGTTGAGGGTAAATATTTTTTATAAAACTAAAAACAGCTTTACAAAACCAATAAGATACTCAAATTTAAAAAAAAATATAAAATAAGAACTAAAAGTAAAAAAAATAAATAAATAAAGATAATAATTAAAGCATCTTGAGAATCCTCATTACTCCTTCATAGAACCTTGGGGTCCAGATCACTTAAGGACCATCTCTAGCATTTATTACATACAGAAAGCCTACTTAAAAAGGATGAGGCTGGGGCGCCTGGGTGGCTCAGTTGTTAAGCAACTGCCTTCGGCTCAGGTCATGGTCCCAGGGTCCTGGGATCGAGTCCCATATCGGGCTCTCTGCTCCGCGGGAAGCCTGCTTCTCCCTCTCCC